TGCAAACCCCGTGCGCCCACGCCTCACCCGGCCCCGCGGGGCCTGGTCAGGGCCCCCAGCACACGCAGAATCTGTGAAAATCCCTGGGGATCCTCAAGGATTGTTGGTCGTCGGCGCGCCAGTGTGCGCCGCCATCCCACCCGGCCCCGGGGGGGCATGACCAGGACTCCCGCCCCAGTGCCAACGCCCCTGCCAGCCCCGGGGGTTCGAGGTCAAGGCCGCCAACCACTCCTCCACCCAACTCCACTCTCGAAGAAGAACACGATCTCAACAACAAATGGGAGCCAGCATGGTGGTTGCAACGAGCAAAAACAACAACATCACAACAACAACAACAACAACAACAACAATCATTTTACCCGAACGCGTGGTGTTCTCCCCAGTGCCAGGGTTTTCATACGACACCAGGCAATACCCCCACTTCGTGGGGGGGCATTACAAGCTCTACCAAATATCCAAACGACTCTTCGCGACCACCCAAACCCAGCTTCCCGCCCTATGACGTTGGGACACTTCACTTCGTGGCGTGCGGACGACCGTGGCTACTACACTGGCGTGGGGTACACACCCACAGAACCCAATGGTTTTTGGAGATTTCGGCGTGCGCGCGCGAAGAAAAAACGAATGTGTCCCGCATGGTATTATTTGACAGGGATGATGGCCCTGGCAGGTGCGCAACCGTTGTCGCAGAAGTTCGAAAAAGTTGCTCGCAAAAGCCCGTTTGACAGAAATGTTTAAAAAGTGTTGGGTTTCCTACGAATCCGCAAGAGCGCGCGGGATGAGATTTTGACATTTTTTTGTTGAAAAACCATTGGTTTTTTGATGTTTTTATGTTAAAATCGCTCCGAACACTAAGCTTTTGGAAGGATTTCGTCTTGCGCGCGCGAATGTCCACTTTACCTTATTTTTTACAAGGGATTCTTGAAATTTGATAATATTTGAACAAGAAATGTCATTTTATAGTGTTTTTTGCAAGGGAAAGCGGATTACAACAAAACAACCGGATCTTGATCACCTCGAATTACCTGAGGCTTCCTCACGAAAATGATGAAAACGTGGCTGCGGCCTAGGCGCGGCGGGGGGGGCGCGCACCAGGGGGCCCAACAATAATTATTCTTTAGAATTAATAATGTTCAACAACAACAACAACAATAATTAAGACCGTTCGCCCTTATATGCTCGAGTGTCCAATAACGCGTATTTCCCAAACCCTCGATACCCGCCCTCTTCGTCTTCGATCGAACCCCTTCTTGGGGGTATACCTTTCTTCCCTGCAGGCCGGGCCGGCAAGCGGCGGGGCGGCCGCGGACAGTCGGTCTGGCCAGCTGCAGCGCTGATCGGCGGGGCGGCCGCGGACCGTCGACCCGACCCCAACGAGGGACGGACAGGGGACCGACCACGACGACGACGACGACGACGTCGAAGACGACGGCGAAGACGACGGCGACGACGAGCGAAAGCGAGAGCGAGAGAGAACGACAGCAGGGCCACGAAGGGCACGAAGTAGGCCACGAAGGGCGACAGCGGGGACACGAAGGGAATGCGTATGGGGCCACGAAGAGTGCGAACGAGCGGGGGCCACGAAGTGCAGATAATGCGGGGCCACAGAAGGCAAGTATGGGGCCACTGAGGGTAGCAACTGGGCCACGTAGGACAGTGAGGGGGACACAAATAGCGACAGCGGGGCCACGAAGGGCATGCACATGGGGCCACAACGGGCGCGACTCCTGGGTGCCTGGGTGTCGGGAGCGAGGCGCTTGGGCAAATTGCAGGAAATTCCAACGCAGGGCCAGTCTTGAGTAAGTTGGAAGCAAGTCTCCAGCGAGAGCGCGACTCCAGAGCGCCGGGAGAGCGATTCCTGAATAAAATGTAAGGAAGTCCCAAGCAAGAGCGCGATTCCTAAATGAAATGCGAGGAAGTCTCGGGCGGGAGCAGGGGTCCTGGCAAAAGTGTACGGAAGTCTCAAGCGGGAGCCGTTGCTGTTGTTGCCCGGGGGCCAGGGGCCCAGTTTGTGCAGGAAGACTTTCCCCGTCTAAAAACAAGGTGCGAGCGTCGAGGGGCACACTTTGATTGAGAAAAATCAATATGCACCGGTGGGGGGGGATCAACAATAAGCATTCTTCAGAAATGAGAATTCAGCAACAACAACAACAACAACAACAACGACGACAACAACAACAACAACAACAACAACAACAACAACAACAACAACAACAGCAGCAACAGCAACAGCAGCAACAGCAACAGCAACAACAACAACAGCAACAACAACAACAACAACATCAACATCAACAGAAACAACAACAACAACAACAACAAAACAACAACACAACAACAACAACAACAACAACAACAACAACCACCACAACAACAACCACAACAACAACAACCACCACCACCACAACCACCACAACAACAACAGCAACAACAACAACAGCAACAGCAACAGCAACAGCAACAACAACAGCAGCAGCAGCAACAACAACCACAACAACCACCACAACAACAACCACAATAACCACCACCACCACAACAACAACAATAAGAACAGCAACAGCAACAACAACAACAACAGCAGCAACAACAACAACAACCCCAACAACGACAACCACAACACCACCAACAACAACAGCAAAAACAACGGTAACAACAACCTACCACCACAACAACCACCACAACAACAACCACAACAACAACAACAACCACCACCACCACCACCACAACAACAACACAACCCCAACAACAACAACAACAACAACAACAACAACAACAACAACATCAACATCAACAACAACAACCACAACCACAACCACAACCACAACCACAACAACCACCACAACAACAACCACAACAACAGCAGCAGCAACAACAACAACCACAGCAACAACAACCGCAACACTAACAACCACAACAACCACCACAACAACAACCACAACAACAACAACCACAACAACAGCAAAAGCGCCCAGGACCGAGGCCTCCGTGGGCCCCCGGTAACGCGGCCCGCGCTTCGAGCCGCGCCGGGGCCGGAGCGGCTGACTATTTTTAGGGCGGGCCCATTCCCCGTGCATGTTTCGGTTTCGCGCGCCCACTTTTCGCAAGATGGTATCCAAGAGGCTCCTCGCAGGTCCTGCCCTCGCCGAGAGATCACGTGCACGCGCGTCCGAGCGATGCCAGGCTGAGATTCGTCCTGTCTTCGCTCTGCCTTTGCTGCGAAACGAAAGCAAAACGAAAAAGACGGTCCACGAAATCGCCGAGCTCCAGCCCTGCCAGGACCCCCGTGCCCCCTAGCACCAGGCAGGGGAGCTGGCGGGCGCGGCGCTGGCCTCGCGGCTCGTAGAGCGCCTCGTTGTCCAGCAGGAAGCACTCGTCCGCGTTCTCCACGAGCTGGTGGAACGACAGCACCGCGTTGTACGGCTCCACGACGGTGTCGCTGACTTTCGGGCTGGGCCCGCGGTCGGCTCTGCCGCCCCCATCGGGGCCCCGGGGGCCCCCAGGAGCACCCAGACATGCAGAGCTCTGGCGACCGAGACGAACCGCGCCTGACGATCCTCACCGTGTTCAGCGCATGGGGCCCGCTCCCGGGCCCCACCCCAGGACCGTCCAAAAGCGACGGGGGAGGAAGAGCCAGTCCCGGGTGGGAGGCCTGGAGATAGGCACCAACACCAACACACGGGCATGCCCCGACCAGGGGAAGATGACCCTAGAATTCGGCGTTGGTGGTACAGTGGGGGCTCGACCACGAGAAACCTTCCACATGAAACCCAACCCTGAGACCCCAGGGCGTCCATTGACTCTTGGTGTGGGAGCGTCACGCTTTTCAGAGCAAAACCATCGAAACCCAAGAAACCCAGGGCACCCTGGAGGCAAGCAGGGTGTTCTTTGGCACGGGCCTCCACTGTAATACTTCGGCCACCTACGAGGCCAAACTATCACCACCATCACCGAGATCGGGAGCACCTCCCCTCGGCGGAGGCTCACCGCAGATACCGGTGTTTGTGTCAACCTCTGGGCCTCCCAGCCAGGACAGGGATCGAGAGCTCCTGGGGGCCAGCGAGGCGAGAAAAATCGAGTCTGGGCCTCCCCAAAACCACAAATGGAGATCTTGAGAAACCCAAGGGCTACCTCCTGAGCCCATTCCGCGCTCCAGCCCAGTTCGGGCGCCAGCTGGGCTGCCGAACTAGAAGAGCAAAAAACGGTATGAACACAGACTGTCGCCGGTCCGCGCGGATCTCTTGGATCCGCGCTGGGCCCCCGCGCGGAGCGCCCAAAGTGTATGTGTATGGCGCGTCTTCTTCTTCAACTTCTTCGACGAAGGGGCGCAATTCCGATGGTGGTGGGACTTGAGCCCGTTCTGCCGCCGGCTGGGCTCAGGAGGAGACCCTCGGGAATCGGCCCCTATCGACTCTTCTCCCGGCCGGGTGAGGGTCTCTGCCCGACCGCTCCCGGGCCGTCCCCCCCCCAGCCCCTCGGGGGCCGCGAAGCGACCGCGGAGCTGGGAATAATGGAGAACCTTAGCGCTCCGCCCGATCGATGCCGGCCCGCGGCCCGATCTCGATCCAAAAAGGACCCCCGAGCCTGACTGCCTGACGGGCCTGCCGGCTCCCGGCTCCCGCCGAGGGGAGGGGGAGGAAGGGCAGGGGGCGGGGGGATCTCGACCCCCCGGTCGATGACCCCTCGGGGTGGGGCGACGGAGGCGGCCCTTGAGAGAAGACGGGGGGGCTTCTGAGGAGGGCCCCAGGGGGGCTTCCGGGCAGGCGTTCTCCGCGGAAGGAGAAGATCGCCAGAGGCACTGCAGAACGCTGCGTGCCATGAGGAAGAGTGGAAAGAAAAGTGGAACTGGAGTGGCAGAGGGCCATCCGGGAAAGATGTAACAGCATCGAGAATCCTGGAATGTGCGTCGATTCGCTCGTGTCCCCCTGGGCCCCTTGATCTCTGGAGGACTGGGGGGCAGTCCGGGAAGGATGGAAAGAGGAGTGAAGCTCCTTGGATGCGCGTGGATCCGTTCGTGTCCCCTTGAGCCCCCGTGGATCCATTGGAGGGATCGAGGGCAACACAGTCCGGGAAAGGCGTAAAGGGTATTGAAACTCCCGGGAAGGCGCGTCGATGCGCTCGCGTCCCCCTGGGCCCCCTCGGATCCCAGGGGGCGGGAGGGCCCCAGACATGGAGAGAGGCGTGGCCCCTTCGAAGAGGCCGCGCCCCTCGGGTGCAGCAGAGCCTGGCCCTTTGACCCGACTCTGCTCCACCTCCCAGTCGAGGACCCTCCATCCATCCTGTGGTGGTGAGCGAGGGGGCCTTCTCAGACGGCGCCGGGGCTTCTCGGGAGCCGGCTGAGAAAACTTCTCAGAAGGCCGGGGGGCCTCCGGGCCTTCTGAAAAGGCCTTCTCCTTCTCGCTTCCTCCCCTCGCCCGCCGCCGACACAAGCCTGAGACAGATTCCCCTCCCTATGATGGGCATCACCGTATCTCGATGCCCATGTCACGGACTACATCAGCTTCTGGGGACGCAACCCTAAGATTTGTCGTCTGGTCGTTTCGGCCTCCTCCTCCTCCTTCCTCTCCCCTTCTCTCATCTTCCTCTTCCCTCCTGCCCCTTCCCCTCTCCAAGCAACTCACGCGCGCACAATTCTTTATCTGCAAATGCGCCGCTTGGGCGCCAGGCTTGACTGACTGACTGAGCCTTGGGGAAGGGGGTGAGTTCCAGGCTGGTTAACCCCAGACCGCGAGGCGCCCCTCCGACCGATGGCCCGACGACTCTGCGGACGTGTGCTGGCGCCAGCGCATGCTTCTCCATCGACGCCTTTTCAAGACAGCGCAGGCGGTGTAACGAGGCCCCTTGGACGCCCATGCCGAAGCTTTTCGAGCGGGGCCAGCTATCGAGAGTGGGCCAGGAGAGGAGGCAAGGACGCAAGGGCACCCCTGGGAAGCTTGCCCATCCTTTACTATCGGCTTCGACTGCACAGCGCAAGCGCTGCAACGAGGGCCGACGCCGGCTGCGTGCACTCGGCGGAGCTGAACGAGGAAAGCACACGTTGGGCCAACGCACGCCCAGAGGATGATCGAATCCGGATGGCTCGCCCGGTCCGGTGGGCCTCGCCAGTCCGTCAGGTCACCCACCAATCGATGACCGATTGCGCCGAGCTGGTTCGGCACCCGGGTCGGTCGGCCGAACGATGGGCACGACCTCGACACCTACAGTCGGGGCTGACGTTGCAGAGGGCATCCGGGAGGACGCGAGTCCCTTCCGAGGGCCACCTGCGCGAAGAGGACACGAAGATGCGATAGGCAGGACACCAGGGCACCCTGGACTCTGCAGGGTCGGCCCACTGATCAGACCCCGACTGCAACGCCCGATGGTCGGCTCCAGAAGGCACCGTCCGAAAGGCCTCCACCTGCGAAGACTTTCGGATCCCGCTGGTCTAGGGCAAGCGGCCTCTCAGGGCTGGTCGGGGCTGGCTGTGGCTAGACCGGCTGCTGGACGAGCGGTCAGTCGATGCTGGCGGCGGCCAGCCCCCGACCAATCCGCGGAAACTCTTCGAAGCGGTGCACAGTGCAAGCACTGCTGGTGGAGCTCGGGGAGCAGTTCGCTGTTGTGGTAAGCTTACGTGACTCAGTCGCCAGCATGACGTGCTCTGTTGGTGCATTGACATGGTAACCTCCAGATAGCCATAGTACGAGATTCCCATGCCAGAGGGAACGACAATCATGCGGTCCATATTTTAGCTCCGCCCTGGAAAAAAAGCATAGTCTTAGTGATTGAGCAATGGCCTTCCGAGCGTCTCGGACCGTTGGCAATTGGTACTGGGCCATGACGATGTGTTACAAGCTTCATCGTGATGCCTATCAGCGCACAGACCCCTCAAGAAATCAGTGAATCTTGCAATTGGATCCGTTCGACTGTAGCACAGTTCACTAGTCCTCAGACACCAGGGTGTCCTGCAGCCGATGAATCAGCGATTGGAAGTGTCCTTGATCGCTACCCTGTCGATCGATCAAGATCATCTGAGTGCGAAGCGTCTCCATGATACGATCTGGGTACTCCTCGCGAACCTTGGAGATCAGCAAGGTACCCATGCCAGCGCCGGTACCGCCGCCAAGGGAGTGGCACATCTGGAAACCTGGGGACAACAAAATAATTGACTACGGCGCAGGCCGTCGAGGTAACCTCGCCGGAATAATTTTCCTTGAGGCCTGTTGGAGCGAAACGCTCCTCCCGACTGACGGAAGGGGCCCGTTCCAAAAATAGATACTGACACGATGGTATACACAAGTTCTATGCACCAAGCCCTTGGAAACCTTGGAGGCAGTCGCAGCCCTCGGCTTCCTTGCGGACAACGTCCAAGACGCTGTCAATCAACTCCGCCCCCTCGGTGTAGTGCCCCTGGCAAGGAAAACCCGCATTACGCACAACAGTGAGGCCTGCACCAACATAGAATGCGGCCTCGAAACTACAAAACAACCTTGCCATACGATGCCTTGTAAAGATACCCTGGTGGTGACCGTACGCCTACGACAGAAGCGCTGCTGGCAAGGACGAGTGGCAAGGACGAGTCGCAAGAAAGCAAAAGTTGGGCATGTTCCAAGAGAGGATGCTATCCCGAGGGCGCTGGAGAAAATCGACAAATCAGCAAAACCAGCAACATGTCGTTTACAAGATACGTGGAAGCAAGTTACAAACTCAAGCATGCGGGTGCAAGTGATGCCAGATCGTAGTGTGTGGAAGCAGATGAAGAAAACGGAGGCAATCAGGTTGCGATAGAGGCAAGTATGAGCGAGTAGCGGCAAGTGAACGCATGCAGAAGCATGCGGAAGCCAACGCAAGCAAGTGAAAAGCAAAGTGGAGCAAAAGGAAACAAATGAAGACCCCAGACCAGAGCTGGTCCGCCGCAAGAACGGGATTTGTCGGTTGCGGGGACGGGGCGGTCAGCTACGAGGAGGGAACATGTAGGTTGCTGTCACTGTTGCGTTTGCTCCTGATCGCGCTCAGGCTTGTTCGATGCGACCTCGGCGCTACCTGGCACAATGGGAAACCACACTTGCTTCATCATTAGCTCTAGATTTCTTCAGGCTTGGCTTAGCCTCGGTTGGCATGGGGTAACTGAACGTCCATGGGCTTCAGCCAGGCATAGGCTGGCTCGGGGAGGACAGCGCAGGAGGTAAGGGATTGAGGGGTGAAGAGGATGACGATAGGAGTGGACGAGGAGGCGAGGCTCGGAACATTAGAGGAACGAAGAATGACATAAACATAAAAACTCGGAGGTCCGCGCGAATTTCTCGGATCGGCGCTGGGCTCCAGCGCCGCCCATGGCGCGCTCCGCGCGCCAGGGAGGGGGGTCCAGCGCGGATCCAAGAAATCCGCGCGGACCTCCGAGCTTTTATGTTTGTGAACACGGAAATGCGACAAGAAGACGAATCAAGGAGACTGGGAGACGAGGAGACGAGGACAGGAGATGACCAGGAGCCAGCGGAAAAACGTGATTCGACAAGGACGCGGCGGGAGGAGACATGGCTTTTCTTGTGGCAGCGCCGCACGCCTTCGCCCAGTTGTTGCCCGCACCCGTCTGGCCGAAGACGAAATTGTCCTCGGGAAACGCTTCCGAAGGCGAACCGGCCAGGGTTTACAGTGGAGGGCCGTCCACACGCAACCTTCTACAAGAAACCCAGCCCTGAGACCCCAAGACGTCCATCGATTTCTGGTGTGGGAACGACACGCTTTACATAGCAAAACCATTGAAACCCAAGAAACCCAGAGCACCCTGGAGTCAAGCAGGGTGTTTCTTGGCATGGGTCTCCACTGTAGGGGCCAACCTTGTAAGAATAGAGGCCTCCCAGGTGGGCTCGAAACCGAGGAGGTCAGAGGATCGCGCTGCATCTTCGATGCATCTTCGATGCATCGCCGATGCATCACCGATGCATCGGCGACGTCAGCGATGCATCGGCGCCGTCGGCGTGGAGAAAGTCGGGCTCAGAAAGTCGGGCTCCACATCGAACCGCATCGCCGATGCATCGGCGGTGCGGCGCGATCCTCCGACCCTATCTACCCCGACCCCACATCGGAGGCCCAGAAGCTTGTGAGAAGGCGAGGAGGACTGCTTGATTACCTGGTTACCAAACCACCCCAACCCAACCCGAAGACGCGAATTTCGGGTTGGGGGGGGTACGGATTCCATATGTGTTTTCTCCATGTTCCCCGACCCCCCCCCCCACTGGAAATGGAGGGCAAATTGAGGCCGTCGGGTTAAGTTGGGGTGGTTTGGTGGGTGGTCTAGGTCTTCTAGGGAGGCCGCTCCCGTCCAAGCAGCTGCTTGGACGGGAGCGGCCTTCCTCGAAGACCTGCCCTGCACGCCTCACAGGGGGGACCTGCCCCCCCCCCCTTGCAGACGCGACCGCCCAACCCTGGACCCTTTCGCTCGCGGCTGGTATCCGGGCGGAAGAGCTGGCCGAACGGCCCGGCACGGACGCTGTCCATGGTGCCGGGCTCCAGGTCCATCAGCACCGCGCGAGGCACGTAGCGCCCTCCCGTCGCCTCGTTGTAGTACACGTTGATGCGCTCCAGCTGGAGGTCGGAGTCGCCGTGGTAGGTCCCCGTCGGGTCGATGCCATGCTCGTCGGAGATCCGCCAGTGCGCTGGAAAGCATCTGGGGTGTGTTCGGGCTCCTTGGTCTCCCGATTAGTTCCGCAAGGAATGCCGGTCAGGACCCACCCGACGCATCGAGCCAAGCATGGGTCAATGTAGGTTGTCCTCCCAGTCCCATCGCTCGAGGCCTTCCACACGCACAGTGATGCCCATGGACCCTCCTCCCCAAGCCCTCTCCTCCACTCCCAAGCGGCGAACGGATGCAGCGGCAGCGCACTCGGATAACTTCCCAGAACTTGTAGCGCTTTTGTCTTGCCCACCAGAGCTGCGAACTGCGGACTGCGAAGAAATTGCACAGCGAGGGTGCCGCAGGGAGGCGCCGAGATGCCCAGATGATTGTGAGAAACGTGCAAGCAGTGCGCGCGACAACAAGATTACACGGAGAACATTCGTTCACACGCGAGAGTGACCCTGGGCAAGAGGGGCCTTTGGTGCGCGGCTTCAGGGGGTCGCGGGTGGGCCACCACGACCAAGAGCGCAAGCCAGTGCTGGAGGGAGCCGTGTGGGCCCGCACGAGAAGTTCACTCCAGCAAAAGGTCACTCGTACGCGTACAGTCGGACCTAGGCCAGAAGAACATCCCTCAAGAACACGAAACCCTCCGTCGTCCAAAGCGCAGAGAACAGCCAAGGGTATCCGCCCCCAGGATGCACAGGAACATCCAACAAGCACGAAGAACATTAGGGTATCCTCCCCGAACCGACCTCGATCTTATACCTCGGTCCGACTGTAGCCGAAACGTTGCACACTTCTCGAGGCGAGCACACCGGGGAGCACCAAGATTTTTAGCTGGGGGGGCACAGGGACAGCGGCAACGCCAGCGAGGGCAAGAGCATCTGATACCACTATTGCTATCAGCTCGCTTGTCTACTGCGGCTACGAACTACAATGGTGTATGTATTTATATGTGTTATACGATTAGCAACGATTAACCAACCGACCATGACTGTACAGCTCACTGCGTACATACTACACCACGCGCTACTAACTGCAGTACTACTTACTACCTACTACGACTTACTACAGATACAGCTGCATACAGACACACAAAAAAAACACCTTAGCTCCGATCTGGTTCCCGCACTGGCCGCCCTGGATGTGCACGAGCTCACGCATGGCTCCGAAGCTGCCACGCTACCTTGCTTGGAGACCTGCAGTGTTCCCAGGGCGCCGCGATGTCGCTCGAGCCGAGACGGCAGCGGGTCGCGCGCGGAGCGCTCCCGATTGATGAACGAAGCCCGCGGCTGTTGGGCAACTCTCCGGAGGGCGCCACCTCCCTTCGCGCACGTCGCGCCGGGCGAGGTGCGACGCGCGCCGCATAACCACCTTCGCGCCCCCAGGGGGTGACCCGGGGGGGACGAACGAGGACCAGCGGCCGAGGCACGGCACAGGCAACCCGCACAGCGAGGGCGCACGATGCGGGGATGCAGGGGCCCTGGAAGGCCAGGTCGACGACTCTGCGGGCGGGGCGCGGCCAGCGAAAGCGGCCAAGGCCCCCGCCGCCACGCGCGAAGCTAGAGGCCTCCCAGATGGGGTCGGAGTAGATGGGGTCGGAGGATCAAGCCGAATTTTCGATGCATCACCGATGCATCGGCGATGCATCGGCGACGTCGACGATGCATCGGCGAGGTGGGCGTGGAGAAATCGGGCCCCACATCGAGCCGCATCGCCGATGCATCGGCGGTGCGGCGCGATCCTCCGACACCATCTCCTCCGACCCCGTCTGGGAGGCCTAGGGCCCAGGATGGCCATCTTCGCGCCCCCGGAGGTGGAGGAGGAGGAGGAGGAGGAGGAGGAGGTGTGCTTCTCCGCCTCGAGGGGGCGCCTGCCCCCGGGGGCGGCTGGAGACAGAGCTCGTAACATGCCCCCCGTGCGTGCCGCCGCGCTCGCACATCGACGGCGCGTGGACGCTGTCCTCTGCCGGCCCTGGGGCGGGCGCCCCCCCGACGGCGGAGGAGTCCTCTTCGAGCAGGGAACATCGGCTACAGAACTGAGTGACCCCCGACTTGGCTGTCCCGTCAGCCTGGGGAGGAACGTCGGATGCTCCGTAGATCTACAAGTGGGGGCCCGACCACAAGAAGCCTTCCACAAGAGACCCAACCCCGAGTCCCCAGGACGTTCGCGGATTTTTTGGTGTGGGAACATCACGCTCTCCACGGCAAAACCATCGAAACCCAAGAACCCCAGAGCATCCTGGAAGCAAGCAGGGCGTTTCTTGGCATGGGTCTCCACTGCATTGAACCTTCTGCGTGAACCGCTCGTTGATGCGACGGAAAACCAAGTTTGGGGTAGACCAATTCTGTAGTCGATCGCCTCTTCGAGACCCATGCTGTGCCGCCAGTCGCCCGCGGAGAGAGGGGCAGCGCGACGCGGAACCCGCTCGGGCGGCGCAAGCAGGCCAGGCCCCGCGCTCCCCGTTGCGAGAGCAATTCAGCGACTTGCCAGCTCGCACACCCAGCCCCGGCCCGCGCGAGCAGCTTCACGACCTGCTTAGGTCGCGCCACCGTGGCCTCAGCCCCCTGGGCAGCGCGAGCAGTCCAACTTGCGGTGGCAACTCACGGGAGCCTCCCATGCCATTTTGCCTGCTCTTGCGAATCGACGCTAACCGACGCTAACCAACGCTAATCGACGCTAATCGGCGCTAATCGGCGCTACATCGACGCTAGTCGACGCTAAATCGGCGCCTTCTCGTCGATTACCACATGCCAGCGCACGCCAATGCACTCTGAAGACGGAACTCCGAGGACGCAATTAGAAAGCTGAGGTGTCCAAATGGCCCCGACATTGCGCCGCAAGGCCCTCAAGGGGCCCCCCGAGGGCCCCAAGAGTGTTCCCGAAGGCGCCCAAGCACACGCCCAGAAAATCCCACGATTGCCCCGAGAGAAGATGTCACGACAGTCAAAAAGGACGGGGGGCGGACACAACAGCGGCAGCGCATATCGGTGAGGACATCGAACGTCCTTCCACGTTTTGACGATGGCCATGTGGATAGCGTCCTGCATGCCCCCACGCGATTCCTTACGAGGGCTGGAAACGCTCCAAGATAGTGCCAAGAGGACTCCAAGATGGTCCCAGAGGGGCCCCACGTGGCCCCGTTTGGCGTGACCAGTGTTCTCAATCTCTGTTTCGCCGGTGCTTCTTACACTTCCTTGAACACCTTGCCTGGGCATCGTTGCAGCACGGTCTGGTGAGACGATGCGAAGACTCCAATATCTATGTTTTCATCTTGTGGCATGCAACCAAGACGGTCCAACTGTATGGCCGCCCCGCACACGCGTGTTGCTTGAGTGAGCAGCGAGCAAGAGGTGAGGCGTGCGAAACACGCACGCTCTCCAAGCGACGTGCTTACAATGTGCTGACTCGCGCAGCAGTAAAATCCGCCACGCTGCCCCAGAGGCACGAGTTGGAGCCTTGGTCTTCAATCCTGAAAAATGTTCAAGGGGCCCGGACCCGCAGTTCTCAAATTACCTAACAGCTTTTGCTGATAGGTTTCTAGTGGTGTCAACAGAGAGCAGCAGATGACTCCACAGGGGGGTCGGGGCGGGACCCGGGGAGCTGTGTCCGAACTCGTGTCCGAACTCGTTTTTCGCAAACAGTCACACACTTCGTGCTCTTCGACCTCCCAGAACTCCATTCCCGGGCCACATTCTGAATGCCCGGAGCCAACTGTAGGCCACTTCGTGCTCTTCGACTTCCCAGAACTCCATTCCCGGGCCACATTTTGAATGCCCGGAGCCAACTGTAGGCCACTTCGTGCTCTTCGAGTTCCCAGAACTCCATTCCCGGGCCACATTTTGAATGCCCGGAGCCAACTGTAGGCCACTTCGTGCTCTTCCCCAGAACTCCATTCCCGGGCCACATTTTGAATGCCCGGAGCCAACTGTAGGCCACTTCGTGCTCTTCGAGTGTCCCAGAGACTCCATTCCCGGGCCACATTTTGAATGCCCGGAGCCAACTGTAGGCCACTTCGTGCTCTTCGAGTTCCCAGAACTCCATTCCCGGGCCACATTTTGATGCTGATGCAGAGGCTGAGAATGGTGATGCTGATGCTGAGGCTGAGGCTGAGGCAGGCAGGCTGAGGCTGATGAGGCTGAGGCAGGCTGAGGCTGAGGCCGAGGCTGAAGGCAGGCTGAGGCAGACGCTGAGGCAGGCTGAGGCTGAGGCAGGCTGAGGCTGAGGCTGAGGCTGAGGCAGGCTGATGCTGAGGCAGGCTGAGGCTGAGGCTGAGGCTGAAGGCAGACTGAGGCTGAGGCAGGCTGAGGCAGACGCTGAGGCAGGCTGATGCTGAGGCAGGCTGAGGCTGAGGCTGAGGCTGAGGCGGATGCAGGCTGATGCTGAGGCAGGCTGAGGCACAGAGGCTGAGGCTGAAGGCAGACTGAGGCTGAGGCTGAAGCAGGCTGAGGCTGAGGCAGGCTGAGGCTGAGACTGAGGCAGGCTGATGCTGAGGCTGAGGCAGGCTGAGGCTGAGGCAGGCTGAGGCTGAGGCTGAGGCTGAGGCTGAGGCTGAGGCAGGCTGAGGCAGACGCTGAGGCAGGCTGATGCTGAGGCAGGGTGAGGCTGAGGCTGAGGCTGATGCAGGCTGAGGCTGAGGCGAGGCTGAAGGCAGGCTGAGGCTGAGGCTGAAGCAGGCTGAGGCTGAGGCTGAGGCTGAGGCTGAGGCTGAGGCTGAAGCAGGCTGATACTGAGGCAGGCTGAGGCTGAGGCAGGCTGAGGCACAGAGGCTGAGGCTGAAGGCAGACTGAGGCTGAGGCTGAAGCAGGCTGAGGCTGAGGCTGAGGCAGGCTGAGGCTGAGGCTGAGGCAGGCTGATACTGAGGCAGGCTGAGGCTGTGACTGCGACTGCCGCTGCCACTGCGACTGTCATCGCGAATGCGACTGCGACTGCGAGAACAGCAGAACTCTACAACTGGATTATCATCTGAATCTTAAGGGGAATGCTTCCATATATGCTTCTACACATCGCTGTTAGGTTGCTTTGTCGGGATAATTTTCCGGTGCGCGCCGCGTGGCCCCTGGGGCCCGGGGCGTCGTCTCGCATGACTGTTTCGGGCCCCAGAAGGCCCCTAGACGGGCCAAGAGGGCCCCAAGAGGCCCCCAACATCTGGTCCAAGAGGGCCCCGAATCGCTGCAGAATCGGTCCGAGGCGCCCAAGGTGACTTCCAGTCGGCCCGAAAAGCGCCCAAGACGTCCCAAGAGGGCGCCAAGACCAGTCCCAAGAGGGCCCCGAGAAGCAAACAACATTGATGCTCGATTGGTGTTTGAAGAATGTTGGCTTTCTCGCCTTCTGGGCTTCCCGACGCTCCAGGGCGGCTGAAGAGGCCCCCAAGATCGCCCCAAGACGGTCCAAAAGGCCGCCAGGGCCCCACCACGGCACCACGGGGCCCCAATGACGACCCAAGAGGCCTCTAAGACAGCCCAAAAGGCCCCCAAGACGGCTCCAAGGCGGGGCTCAGACGGGGAACCCGAACGGACATTTCGAGCCCTCGGCCCCAAAAAGGCTCTCAGGATGCCCCAAGAGGCCCCAAAGAGGCCCCCAGAAGACCCCAAGAAACCCCCGAGAGGCTCCCAAGAGGCCCCCGAACGGCCCCCAACAGGTCGCTTTACTGCCCCCATGAGGCCCCCAAGAGGCCTCCGAGAGAGCTCCGAAGAGACCCCAAAAAGCATCCCTGAGGACTCACTCAGACCCACAATCCAGGCCCGGTGGCGGGATGGGCCGAAAGCCGTTTGATCCGCCGCCCCCTGCTTGCAGGGGTGCACGGCGTGCTGGACGAGCTGGACGTTTCAGGTTTTGGTTTTGGTTCTTTTTCTAAAAGAACTCCCCAGTGGGCTTCGGCCCGTCCCGCCGGCCACCCGCAAATTTCCGAAAATCCGTCTGACAATGCCAAAAAACGGCCGTTTCGCTCGGGACATCCTCAAAAAATCGCGAAGATGGCCCAAGATGGTCTCCAAGTCCGCCCGAGATGGTCCAAGACGGCCTCCAAAACGGCCCAAGAGAGTCCAAGACGGCCCAAGACGGCCCAAGAGGCCCCCCAGAGGCCTCCCAGACGGCCCAAGAGGCCTCCAAGAGGTCCTCCAGGAGAGTCCGAAGAGGCCAAAATCATTGATTTTCCCTTGGTTTTTGAAGGATTTTGGCATTTGCGCCTTTTCGGCTCTCCGACGGCTCAAGACGGCCCAAGAAGCCCCCAAGATCGCCCAAGAGGCCCCCAAGAGAGCCCCATGATGGCCCAAGTGGCCTCCAAGATGGCCCCTAGAGGGCCCCAAGAGGGCCCAAGAGGCCTCCAACACGCCCAAGATGGCCTCCCAGACGCCCAAGATGGCCTCCAAGACGGCCCTGGAGCATTCCAAGCGGGCCCCAAGTCGGCCCATAGAGGCCCCCCAAACGGCTTCCGACGGCTTCAGACGTGCCAGGAACCCACCAAGATGGCCGAAGTTGGCTCGAAGCTGGCCCGAGACGGCCCAAAAAGCCCCAAAGATCGCCCAAAGCTTGCCCAAGAGGCCTCCAAGACGGCCAAGATGACCTTCAAGATGCCCACGTGTTCCCCGAAGGCTTTCCAAACCGATTCGGGGAACACGTGGTCCGATAGCTTGGCAGGTCTGGCCTCAACGTTCGGCCACATAGGCGCTTCCAAAAAGGCAGGGGGCGGCGGTGATTCGCCGTAGGCGTCTTCGATATTAGTTCCAGCGAGTGCGAACGAGCAATAGATACATCCATTGCTAGGTCGCAGGTACTGGAAAGTGGACGAGCGGCATTTCACTGCTCACCATCTTCCTCTTCGTCGAACTCACCCTCCTCCTCTGCGGTGGCATCCTGGTACTGCTGGTATTCAGAGACCAGGTCGTTCATGTTGCTCTCGGCCTCAGTGAACTCCATCTCGTCCATGCCCTCGCCAGTGTACCAATGCAGGAAGGCCTTGCGCCGGAACATCGCCGTGAAGTACTCGGCCACACGCTTGAACATCTCCTCAGTTCGGCGGAACGAAATTGAGGCACATCCCCTGGAACCAACGCGAGCACCGAACTACAGTAAACTGATAAGCACAGAAGCTCAAGCGGATAAGGAACAGGTTCAGCACCCGGGTGCACTCAAAGCCCCGATTGGCACTCAGGAGCGCCCTTCCACTGCTACGGCTGCCGTGCGCTGCCGTTTCCTGGGCCGCTCGCCGCGGCCACGTCTCCCATCACCTCCAGCCCTCCTCCTTACCTTGGGCACTGGCGCGCCGGGTCTTTCTGCAGGCCCTCGCTGGGCGACCTCCTCCTCCACACCCTCCTCCACAGCGGGCTGCATCTCCTCCTCCATGCTGCCTCCGCCGCCTCCTTGGCCTTTAGCCTCCTCCCTCTCTTCCTGTATTGTTGTTGTTGTTGCGGACCGCTGCTGCACCTCCCGCCAGCCTCCGCCTCCTCCTCCTTGGCCTCCTGCCTCCTCCCTGTCCTCCTGCGTTGTCGTCGTTGCGGACAGGTGCTGCTCCTCCTTCCCGCCTCCGCCTCCTCCCTGGCCTTTTGCCTGCCCTGGATCACCCCACCTATGGTGGATGATGCCCTGCCGGACCTGCAGGTGCCAGTCCAGCACGTCGATCGAGTAGCCTGGGTCCTCTCGGATGGGCCACCCCAGCCGCGCCTGCATCGGGTCTGCTGGCCGCGGCGGCCGTCTGCGGTGAGCGGCCCCGGAGGCCCCCGGGCAGGCCCACACGAGGTGGATGAGATGTCCGCCGCCTTTCAGGCCACAGGCCGGGCACGCGATCTCCCCCCTGCGGGCCGACGGCCACGCCGCACAGCTCATCGTGGCGCCCGTGAGCACGGGCAAGATGGCAGGCTGCCTTTGCAGGTGCTTCTGCGCTTCTTTCAATCGTAGACTGTCGTACTGGACTGCGCCACGGCAGAACTCGGCATCGTTGCGCGTCGAGCGCCGCCACTGCGCGAACCGGTGCGCGCGCCACCCCTCGCGGAGGTCATGCTTCAGCTTGCTCACCGATACGGCATCGTCTGGCCGCAGGCTGACCGCCCCGCCGGTACCTGGGTGGGTCCACCTCCATCCTTTCTCTGGCGGAACCTCGGGGCTTCCTGCCTCTTCCCCCTCGCCCTCCTCCTCCTCAAACGGCGGCGCCTCCTCCAGCTCCTGCCAGCCTTCCCTCCGGAGGAGCGCCCGGATCGTTTTGGGCCAGCCTGGGGAGCCCCAGCGCCCCACGACAGCTCCGGTCTTCAGCACCCTCTGGGCCGCTGCCGCGACTGGCGCCTCCATCATCCGATACGACGCCGACGCCGAGTGGCCGACGAGGATCTCGAAGAGGTGCGGGGGGCCTCTTCTGGCCGCCCTCAGAGCTCGTCGCGCGGCGGCGCCGAGCCTGTCCACGTCTGCCTGGTTGGGCGGCCGGGCCACCCAGCCCCACAGGGCGACGGCCATAGTGCCTGCTGCAAAGCGTCGCTTGGCCAGCCCCGACCGCGGGATGAGCGCCAGCCTCCGCATCCTTGCCTGCGCCGCGGCCAGCCTCGCCTCCTCCTTGGGGGCCTTGCGGCGCCGTTGGGAGGGCTGGAAGTGGCACCCCAGCAGCAGTGGCTGCGCCAGCACCGTGGCTTCTGTGACCCCTGCCTGGGCCCTCAGCTGCCGTCGCCCCGCCTTCGTGCGGTGGCCGAACTGCTCCTTGCTCCTGTTCTCCTTAAGGCCCAGCGCTGCTGACCACCGCCGCCAGGAGGCCGCCACCTGGGCCACCTCCTCCGCCTCGGCGCTCTTCCAGGAGCGGTCGCCCATGTACACCGCCTGCTGCGCGCGCGGGAAGTCCTCCTGCCGCTTCGTGATCGGCGCCACGAGGAGCGCCGTCATGCCCACCACCGACCAGCCGTCGCCCTGCGGCATGCTGGCGTCGACCGCACACGGGTCCGCGAGGACGCGGCCCTGGAGCTCCAGCCACCGCTGCTGCTGCCCCCACACTCCTCCGACCAGGTCGGCCGCGCGCCGGGGCAGCCCCGCCTGCCTGAAGATGCCGACCACCGCCGCTGGGTCCGCCATGTCGAAGGCGAGGGAGTAGTCGAAGGTCGCCAAATACCCCCCTCCCGCGTACGCTTCCTCCAGGGGGCCAACAGCGTCGATGACCTCCCTGCCGGCGCGGCCGCCCACGGCCTCCTCTGGCCACCAGGAGTCAAGCCAGGCCTGCGCACTGCGCTCCCGCAGCCGGGCGCTGCCCCAGAGGCGCCACCACACCGAGAGAATGGTGATTGGCCGCAGCGCCGCGCAGTCGATTGCGCCATCTTCGGCCCTGGCCCCCTTGCCCTTGGGCAGCAGGACCATGCGAGCGTGGGTCCACGCCTGGGGCGGCACGCCCCCCGCCTCGATGGCTGCGTAGACCTCGGCCAGGTGCTGCCACACCGTGTCCGGCAGATCCTGCAGCTCGTCGCCGCGCCATCCGTCTGGGCCTGCCGCACTGCCCTTTCTGCCTCCGCGCCGCCTCGGAGAAGTCCTCCCCCACGAGGGCGTTGAGGTCCACTTCGTCCCTCGCGGGGATGACGCCGGCCACCTCCCGCAGCACGGCCTCCGTCGACGGCCGCTGTCGGTCCCACACGGTGCGCCAGTGGGCCGCTAGCCTCTCCAGGCTCTCTTGGGGGGACCTCGTCGCCGCCTTCCCGCCGGGGACCCTGTCCGAGAAGACGCTGGTGGTGGGGCGGAGCCAGGCCCCCTGGATCCACTTCCAGACCGCCCGGTCGTCTTCCTTCATCTTGCGCCTCCAGTCCGCGAGCCGGGCCTGGAAATCCGCCTTCATCTGCGCCTCCAGGATCCGGCGAGCTGCCGCCTCGGTGTCGCCTCGCGGCCCGTCCTCCTCCTGAAGCTCCTCCTCCAGGATTCTCCTCAGCTCCTCCGCCTCCTCCTCCGCCTGTTTGCTGCCCTCCCGCCCCTGGCGGCGGAGCCAGGCGAGGTGTCGTAGCCGCGTGCAGCGCGTAGCCTGCCTCAGGGCCTCGCAGCCCCCCGCAAAGGGGCCCTTGTCCTCCTGCCTCAAGGCGCCCAAGCGTTGGCGCCCCTTGGTGCGCCTCCAGTCCAGCTCCTCCGGGCTCGTGCCGACGCTGGCGGCTATCTCCCGCTTGGCGCCCCTCAGGGCGGCCTCCAGCGCAGCCGTGGCGGATGACCACAGCCGGTCCGCCCTCCTCCTCGAGGGATCCTCGCGGCGAGGCTGCCGTACCCCGGGGGCCCGGCAGGGGCGCTCGGCGCTTGGGCCTCCCAGTGTCTCGCGACCAGCTCCGTCCAGCGCTCCTTCGCGACGCCGGCGGGCCTCGCGAGGTCTACCGGCTTGTGCCTTTTTCCGGAGCCTCTCCTCGGGCGCCCTGCAGCGCGGGCGCCCGCTGACCTCCACCGCGGCGCGCACGACCTCGTGGTCAGAGGACGTTGTGGCCTCGAAGCCCCTCCCCTGGATCCAGGGCCCGTTGGCCACCCAGTAGTCCAGACACCTCCTGCCTTTCCACCGCGTGGGGGCGTGGCCGCCTTCTCCGTCAGGCACGGCCGCAACCCGCCCGCCGGCTTCTGAAATGAAGAGCGCCACTGGGTTGTCCTTTGGCGTCACATTCCAGTCTCCTGCAATGGCCCACTCGGCTTGGGCGCCAAGGCTGCTGACGGTCTGGGCGCCGTCGTCGAAGAGCGGCCCGTTGTCCTCCGTGGGCGACGCGTACACGTTGCCGAAAAGCTCCCCGGCCACCGAGACCAGCTGGAAGTGCGACGCCCCGAAAATCTTTTCGTGCACCGTCGCGGAGTTCAGCTCCTTGCTCACGAGGAGGGCGATGCCGCTCCTCCCTCCCCCTTCGCCGGCCCGTGTGACTGCGTCCACCACAAAAGCCCGGTATCCCAGCTTATCACAGTACGCGATGAACGCCCCCACGCCCTTGCCGCGGAGGCGGTGCTCCTGCATTGCGACGAAAGCCACGCCGTGCTTCGCTGCCAGCCGGGCGCAGTCCCAGGCCATCGTGGAGCCGCCCACGTTGTGGGTCCAGAACTCCCCCACCATCTTTTTGCCCATGCTCTTGAGCATTTTGGAAGGCTTCTCGCTGCAGGCCTTCTGCCGTTTCCACGGCGGGGACGCCGGCGCCTCCTCGTCCTCCCCGCCTCCTTCAGGGTCGCGTCTGCCGCGTCCTCCTGCTCCTCCTCGCCCTCTCCTGGGCCTCCTGCTGCGTCCCTTGGCTGGGCCTCGGTGCGGTTCCACGTCCCCGTCCTCCTGCAGGTTCCGCACCCACGCCGCGCGCATCCTGGCCGGCGCCCTGGCGCGGGCCGCCCTGGGAGGGGGGCCTGCCATGGCAGCGGCAGCCCCCCAGCCCCTTCAGGCCCCCCCGAGGGCGGGCTGCTCCCTGGCCCCTGGCTGTCGGGCCGCGGGCCGTCTCTTGACCCACTTGTCAGGCCTGCCCAGCGCGGCGCGCGCAGCCCGGCGCTGAGCCACCTGCCAGGCGTCCTTGCGCCGCTTGCCGTCTGGGCCCAGGGGCTGCTGGGGCGCCCGGCGTTTCTTCCCTTCGAGGGCGTCCGGCACAAAGTACCGTCTCAGCCGCGCCGCCGTGGCGCCGAGCGCCCGCCCAAGGGCAGCGTCGTCCCCGGTCGCCTGGACCTTGTTCCAGAAGGAGGTTGGCCCGGCGTACCTTTCCGCAGGCTGTCCTTTGCAGGGGGTGGCCCGCGCCTGGGAGCTCTCCATGTGGCGCCAGCACTTCTTGCACCACACCGTGACCCGCTTGTCTGCTGTCCTCAGGCCCGTGCCCCGCGAGGCTGACCACCCCTCGACCGTGACGGGGTCATGGCCCGCTCGCCGCACCTCCTCCTCGATCCGCCTCTTGCTGGCGGCCGCCTGTGCCTCCGCGGACTCTCGGCCGTGGCGGCCAGGGTCGTGCGCGCGCATGGAAGCGGCCTTCCACTGCTGGCGAATCACCTCCGGGTGGTCCTCCTTCCAGTGCCTCTGGCGGGCCGTGGGCAGGCACCGGCCCTGCACGTAGGCCGGCAGCGCCTTGTCGCAGAGGGGGCACTGCCAACCCCGGACCTCCTTCGGGATGCCGGCCACCGGCTTCACACCGAGCCACGGCGTGCGCGCCGTCTGGCATCGGGCCCGCTCCTCCGCCGAGTGTTTCCGCAGGTGCGCGCTCTTCCGGCTGAACAGCTGCTCCTTGCTGTCCGCCGTGACCCGGAGGCCGCAACAGGGGCACGGCCATGCCTCCGCCGGGGCTCCGGCCCCCACCTCCTGGCTCCTCTCGCTCCTCTGCCGCTCCAGCCATTCCCGGGCCTCGGCGGAGGCGGGGGCCCCCTGCAGCTCGCTTCACGCGCTCAGGCACGTCTTCCGCGTGAACCTCCTGCACACCGGGGCAGCGCCCCCGCCCCTGGCGACTCCACCAGCCGCGCGGCGCCCCGCAGCACCCACCATCATGGAGACCCGCCCCGTGGTGGTCACAGACGGCGGTGGTGGCAACCATCCTCCGTCGTCCTCCGCGCTCCCGGTTACCGACCGCGGCGCGGGAGGCAGCCCGTCACCGCCGTCGCCCGAGGTCGCGGGCGAGGCCGGGGGCAGCAGCATCCAGGCACCTGAATCGCCCTCGCTGTCCTCGCTGTCCTCCTTTTCCTCCTCCTCCTCCTCCTCCTCCTCCTCCACCTGCCCGCGCCCGGCCCCGCGGAGCAGCTTCAGCAAGGTCCCCGTTGGTGGCGGGTCTGCCCAGTGGCTCGGCCAAGGGCGCTGGTTGTCGGAGTCCAGGGTCGCATAGTGCTCCTCCTTGAAGAGCAGCAGCGGCAAGGGTGGGTGCTGCGCGGCCACCTCCTGCTGCCTGCGGCTGTAGGGTTCCACCACCGCCGCCTTGCACCAACCCAGCTTGAGGTCGTGCTTGAAGATGGTGATCTTTCGGCCGAGGCGGTTGGCCGCCACCTCAATGCATGCCCCGTCGATCCACCGAGTCGCCCGGCCAGTGGCCTCGACCCACTGCGCGTAGGTCCTGGGGATCGGGCCGCCTTCTGTCCTCAGAGACCAGCTGTCGTCGGGCAGCCACGCCTCCTTCCCGTAGTCCTTCCGTCGGATCTCCTGCGTGATTTCCAAACGGAGTTTCGCCGCCATGGCCTTGGCCTTGCGCGTGCACTCCTCCTTAGTGTGCGCCCCCGACTGCACGGCATACGCGGCCGCCAAGGCGCGGTACCCGCAGTCCCCATTGCCTCCGAGGTCCCACAGGGGGTACCCATCGATGGACACCTTTTCCTTTCCTGTCTCGGCCGCCGCGGGGCTCCTGGACCTGTCCCGAGCCTCGGCGCCGTCCTCCTCCTTCTTCCCCTCCTTGGCCTCCTCTCGGCCCCTGGCCGGCGCAGCGCCCTGCTGAGCGGCGCGCGGCCCTTCAGCAGCCCGGCGCGCCGGGGGGGCCGCAGGCGGCCCCTTCTCCTCTGGCTTCGCCGGCGCAGCCCTGCTGTCCTCGGCCCCCAGGTCTGGGAGCGCCCTGAAGGTGCCCGGCGTCAGCGTGAGGATGCTCTCGCCCACCTTGTAGAGGTAGCAAGCCTTGGTCGCTCCTGCCGGAGGCCTCCCTTTGACCACTGGGGGGGCTCTTGACAGGACCTCCACTTCTGTCCAGCGCGCCGCCTTCAAGAACCCTTCGAAGTCGGCCTGCAGCCAGTGCTTGGGGGCCCCTTTGACCCGGTAAGCTCTGGCATCCACGGTCTGTTCCCGCGCTTCCTCCTCGGAAAGCCTGATGCCGAGAGACGTCTTGCCGCCCCGGCGAAAGGAGACCCCGAGGTTCGGGTCTCGCGCCGCCGCAGCCCGCAGCACCCGCGCTCTCCTCAGTTCGGCGCGTAACGAAATTGAGGCACATCCCCTGGAACCAACGCGAGCACCGAACTACAGTAAACTGATAAGCACACAAGCTCAAGCGGATAAGAAACAGGCGAGCGCCGAGCCGTGAGGCCGAGAACTCAAGCGGATGAGGAACAGACTCAGCACCCAGGTGCACTGCAAGCACAAAAAGGCACCCAGAGGTGCCCTGCCTGAGCTCTGGCCATTGCTCACACCCGCTTGCTGGGCCGTTCGCCGCGGCCACGTCCTCCGACCCCTCCAGCCTTCCTCTTTACCCCGGGCGCTGGTGCGCCGGGTCCGCCTGCGAGCCCTGGCCGGGCGTCCTCCACTCCCTCACCCTCCTCCGCCGCGGGCTGCATCTCCTCCTCCCCGCTGCCTATGCCTCCTCCATGGCCTGCTGCCTCCTCCCTGCCCTCCTGTGGTCGCGGACTGCATCCCCCCCTCCCCCTTCCACAGTTCCAGCCGCTGTTTCTCAGCCTCTTCCTGGGCCGCTCACTGCGGCCACGTCCTCCGCCTCCTCCTGCCCACCCCCTTACCTTGGGCGCCGACGCGCCCGTGCGCGACGTCTCCTCAGGTCGGCGCGCAAAGAAATGTGAGGGTGCCACCATCCCGAGACACCGGCCCAGGCGGGCGAGAGCTCAAGCGGGCAGGTGACAGTTTCAGCACCTGGGCGAATTGAGACCCCGATTGGCCCTCAGAGGGGCCCAACGCCGATCCTAACAGACTGCTCCGGCGACTCGCTTCGTTCGTTCGGAGGACAGCGATACAGGGGCATCATGTGGAACCAAAACAAGCACTGAACGAGACGGGTCAGTGCTGCAAATAGATAAGGAGCATTATCATATATTTCGGATGGAAATTCTCATTGAGAAAGAACAGCTTTGCCAGCCTGGACCCCTCGCAGTGAGTTACTGCAGCGTGGGGGCGCAAGCTTTGCAGTGTCAGATATATGATGCAACCTGTGTAGCGTAGGCTACGTGGTGCACGCTACGTGGTGTCGGCTGCATGGAAGAAGATGTCCACTGTAAGTTGGGTGGTGTGAGTGATCTCCACTGCAAACGATGTGGCGCAAACGAATCACCTGCGCCCAAGAGGCGCCCACGACGAAGCACTGGCCAGGCACCAGGCGAATCCGCGACAGACCCACCCAGCGCCCACGAGGCGCCCACTGAGGGCGACGTGGCGAAACCTAGCCAGACACGTCCAAATCGCTTGGCAGCAGAAATAAGAACCCGTAAGTGAAAGCACTGTTTGGCGGAGGGAGTCACGCTAGTTCCGCACCCTCCTCCTCACTTCCATTCCACTTATCTCGGGGGCGCGCAAAGCACGGATTTGCAATCCATGGATTTGGCGCGCCGTCGCCAAATCCATGGATCGGGGGAGGTGCCCTCCCCAAAATGCGGCAAGTGCCGCCTCCGTCGCTAATCCATGCCCCCCTGATCCATATTTGCAATCACCTGATGATCACCCTGATCCTCCTCATCCCCGCCTCTTCGTCCTTCCCCCCTCTCCTGGATCGCGGTGGAATTCCCGGCGAAGGCCACCGCCATCTTCAGGCCCTTGGGGGGGATGTCGCACACGGACGCCTTGATGTTGTTCGGGATCCACTCGACGAAGTACGACGAGTTCTTGTTCTGGACGTTCAGCATCCACCATCGCGCTTGCCGCGCGGCAGGCGTGTGCTGGCTAACTACTGCCTTGACACACAAGAGGTGCTGAGAGCAGTGCGGATTGAGGCAACGGCAGAACAAAATCGGTCCCCGGACCCCTCCCAGGGTTCCGAGCTGCGTCCAGCCGTGGCGACGAGAGGGGGGCCCCCAAAGGCAGACTATCGTTGCCTCAGATCACCCTCCTCTGAAATGCCCCTCCCTGCGCAGCAATAAGGGCTCTCACGATTTCGACGCCAGGGCGCGCTCGTGTGCAGCAACAGGCCCCGAGGTTTCCCACAGACTTCTTCCAGTGCCGAGGGGCTCTCGGTTGTGCCGTGAAGAGCCTGGTCGGGGCGCCTAGGGACCAGCCGCGGCTGCCCAGCAAGTATCCGTGCACGCGCCGGCGGACAGGCGCGGCAGCGCAGCTGGATCTGCTCGTCGACCTCCTTCGTGGACATGCGGCCGCGGAACAGCGCCGCGGCAGTCAAGTAGCGGCCGTGGCGCGGATCGGCAGCACACATCATGTTCTTCGCGTCAAACATCTGCTGGGTAAGCTCAGGCACCTCGGGGAGAACGAATTAGCCGCCGACGCCAAATTCCATCGCAGAACTGCCCACCAGCTTCTGGCACAGGCGCCCCTGGGATCGAAGAATAGAATGCAGGCGGGGGTGACTTGCGAACGGTGATCGCGGCGCTTGGGGTGAGTGGGGGGGGCATCGTTTGGCGGCACGCCGAGTGCACTGGGGCTTCGGCCACGACAAGCCTCAACATGAACCCGACACGACCCCAATTAGGCGCCTTTTCTTTGAAAACGACTCGAGGCAGTCCTGAACAATGCGAAGCAATGGAGCTGCTTGGCATTGCTGGATATTGCCGTGTATTGCTTGGAATTGCTTGGCATTGTCCAGCATCGCTTTGCATTGCACTGCAGTGCTTGGCATTGCCTGGCATTGTCTGGCAATGGCTGGGGGGGAGGGGCATCTGAGCATGGACGCGAGCCCAGTTTCGAGGAAATGCCGTCGCGGGTCGCTCGTGCGCCCCCGAGCGCCGTGAGGGCGCGGTACTGCTGGGAGCCCCTCGACGTCAGCGGAGCGAAGCCCGTCATGAAGAAGTGCAGGCGCGGGAACGGGATCAGGTTCACGGCGATCAGCCAACCCCCTGAGGGGTTCTTCGTAGGCGCGTGAGGTCCTTGCCTTGGTACGATCGAAATGGGTACGATGCCCAAGAGCAAACATGGTCACAAAGCTGCAGCGGCCGCTGTCGGGCAGGCGACTGGCTGTCTGAGAGGGGCCACATCCGCAACGACACCGACAGCGAGTCCCGCTCAGAATGGGCAGGATCTGCTGTCAGTCTTCGTCCCCATTCCTCCCGCACCCATGTCTATCGCGCCGAGTGCCCCTCCACAAGAGCCCTGCGCGCCCTGGAAGCCCGGACCAGCAAGCTTAGAAGGAGGGCTGGGTGGGCCGAGGGTGTCAGAATCGCTGCGGGCCCCCACGTGCCCCTCACCGTTCGAATTGCGACAAGCTGGGCCTAGCGGGCTACAAAAGGCCTCTCGGATCTTGCAGGATAGTCAGGTGTCAGTGCAAGATGGCCTCCAGGATGCGCCCAAGACGCCTCAAGACGGCTCCAAGCCGGCAGGTGGTGGCTAAGAGGCTCGCCAATAATGCTCCGAAGAAACCAGAACCATCAAAGATCATGGGGCGGCACACAAGAGGGCCCAAGAGACCCCCAACAGTCCCCAAGAGGCCCCCAAGACGGCCTCTACGAAAACGCCAAAAAGGAGAGACATCCAAGGCCCCCAAGGGGTTCGCGGTGTGGCCTGAGCCAACGGATCTTGCGCAGGTCGCAATTGAGCTGCCCCGGGAAGCGGAGGCACGTGGTCACGCCGCTGATTGCTGCGCTCACCAGGTGGTTGAGGTCTCCGTAGGTCGGAGTGGTCAGCTTCAGCGTGCGGAAGCAGATGTCCGCCGAGCACCCTCGCGAGATCACCAGGCGTACTGGACTGCATCTCCCCCGAAGAGAACCTCGACTGGAGCACGCCGATACCGATCCTGAGCCCACTGGCAGGCCGATGCTAGGCCGAAGACTGGTGGAAGACGCCTCCCCTGACACGCACGGAAGTGTGGGGGGGAAAGGAAAAAAAAGAAGAAGAAGAAGAAGAAGAAGAATAAGAAGAAGAAGAACAACAACAACAACAACAACGTAGCAACCAGGCTGCCGGCCCGGAATGGGGCCGGCAGAGGTGTTGGCACACCGGGGTGTGCACACTCTCAGCCGGCCCCATCTGACAGCGTTCGCGCGCCAAGAGTGCCGCCGGCTCTGCCGGCCCCAGGGGTCGTTCCACTCAGGCGGCCGCGCGCTTAGGTGTAGCAACGCCCCAGCCGACCCCTGGAGACGCCTAGGGAATCCATAGGGACACACTCGGGAATCCTCAGGAATCCCGAATGGATCC